GAGAGCTCCATGCACCTACACATGTTAAGTGAATGTGAGGAGGATAGGAAGAGGGGTGAAGGCTCATGTGAAGTATAAAGGTCTGCATGGAATAGTTGGGCCGAATGGCCTGTTTCCGTGCTGTAACCTGTATGTAATTCTATGTACCATCCTTCTATCACGTCCCCTATCATTATTCTTTGTACCAGAGGGATAAACTGCAATTTAACAGTCTTGTGTAACCGAGCTCACGTGGGGGTTGAACCCACAGACCTTCTGAACCGGAGGCGTGAGTGCTACCTACTGGACTAGGCTGACAGAAGGCTTTCATGTACTTTTAGCACGAGTTAAGACTGAGCTGAAACAATCTTTACATGTCTGAGAGTTAGCTAGTTGGGGTGGGAAGAACAGAGGGAATCACAAACAAGCCCCTCAACTAGAGTCTGCACGCACTCTCCAGCAAGAGTTACTGGACAGGAATCCAGGCTGAATTTGCTCTTTAGCATAAGACATCAAGACCAATTATATCCGCATTTACACGCCCCCATCATATTAGCTCATCTAATTATACCTGAGCCCTTCCCAGTATATAGAGCTGGCAACACTATGAATAATTTATCAGTTAAATAGTAACAACATTTTACAGTGAAATCCTGTGAAGCGCTTTGAGACATTGTGACAACGTGATAAGGTGCTATATCAGATGCAAGGTTTATTATCACTCTGTGACCCAGGTAAAACTATATGGAAGCCCCATTATAACCTGTTTGGGATCCATAAAATCCCGAGCCATTGTATAACAAGCCTGCGATAGCTGACTTCACTGAACTGCTGTGTCAAATTGCTGCCACGTCCGTCCACAAAAGCACAGTCACTACACCCACAGGAAATTCTGTAAAACATTTCAACGCTACGGGCGCTGAATGGTATGATGGACATAATGCAACGTTACAGACTCAAATTCATGGATCATTATTTCACAATATGATGTGAGGAAAGGCCTGTCAGAACTGATTTTTTTTTATCCATTCAAGAAAATAAGATTTGAGAAGAGATCGAGCAAGCGCGAGAGAAGGAGGGCATGTCATCCAGAACTTTAAATGGCTGAAAGGCATGGATAATGTAGATGTAAGCGGGTTATTTAAGTTAAACTGTGATTGCAGAAGTAGTCGGCATGAGTACAAAATTGGTCTGCCTGGAGGAGAAACAGAGATTAGAAAAAAAGTAATTTTTTTTCCTAGGAAAGTGTGTTATGTGGAATGAAGTTCTATCGAATGTAATTAACGCTTAGCCGATGGATTTCTTTAAAAGTAGCTGGATGTGTATTTGGTTATAAATGGGATTGAAGGTTATAGAAATATTGGCCTTCTGAGGAATACTGGTAATTTTCCTTCTTCAATTCCTTAAAGGCACAGGTCTCCCACAGATCTCACCATCGGGGTTACATAAGCCAATTTCAGAACAGGCACCAGAAGATTGCTTTCCACAGAGGGTAATTAACGTGTGCCAGCCTGGCTCGGTTCATAGCACTTTCATCTCTGATTCAGAAGGTTGTGGGTTCAAGCTCCACATCAGGACTTTGAGCTCACATCTAATCTAGTGTAGTGCTGGTGCTGCAATACATTGGCTGAGCTGCCATTGTTCAGATGAGGTATTAAATCGAGCTCCCATCTGCCTGTTCAAGGGAGTTTCTCCAGATTTCCTGGCCAGCAATCCTCTCAAAATAAAATTTCTCATTCACTTCATGCCTCACCTATCAGCAATGTTTAATGGAGATTTAGATATATATTTAAAGAGGAAGAATATATAGAAAAGTATGAAGGAAAAAACAGGGAATTGGATTTGGAGTCGACAACCCTTGTGGAGAAGCAGTGAGGCTGAAATAAACTGAGCGGCAGCTTTCTGTGCTGCAATTTTTATATTTCTTTGTAATGGCTTAAAAGGGTTTGCTATAGAATCTTAAAATGATTTTGGTTAAAGGAGGGAGGAGATTTTTTTTACACACATGCAGGGTTTGCAGGCTGTGGAAATCCTGACCTAGAGCAAAGGTTGAGGCGGAATCTGTATAACAACAACAAATTACATTTGTGTAGCGCCTTTCACATCCGGAGGACGTTCCAAGGTGCCGGATAGTCAGGAATTTGGACCCAAGCAGGGGATGGGATCAGGAGGGATGGAGGGCAGGGAGGGAAGGGGTAGGAGGATGGACGAAGGTGCGATCGAAGAGGAGGATCTTGAGACGTGTCTTGAAGGAGGCAAGGGAGGGAGCGAGGCAAAGGGACTTGGGAGGGTGTTCCAAAAGGTGGGGGCAGAGAGGCTAAAAGAGAGTTTAAGAGAAACTTCTTTTTGCAGAGAGTGTTCAGAATTTGGAACTCACTGCCAGAAACTGGGATCGAAGCAGGAAGCATAAATGTATTTAAGAGGATACTCGATGCATATAAGAGGAAGAAAAGAATAGAGGGTTATGGGAGGGGGTTCAGTAGGGCTGGAAGCTCATGTGGAGTATAAGCACCAGTGCAGACTGGTTCACAATTTTTACTTCTAAATTATTATTTTAAAAAATACTAAAAACAAATCCCAGTTAGGAATGATCATCTTTATTGAAAGGGAAGAAGATAAAAGCTGGCAAATGTGCAGACAAGCTGTGTGAAATGAGCTGAAGTGGAAAATGGGAGAGAGAGGTTCTTCATACACACACACACACACAAAATTAGGATTAAGAAAATAGCGAGTGAGAGAGGATTATAAGATTAACTCGAGCCTTGGGGAAGATTAGCTCCGGGCTTGGGAATGTTCCTACAGCTGTTTTTATTCATGTCCCTTTTTGTGTTCATCATGCTGAAATGGGGCTGTCTCAGTCACCTCGCTTTAGAAGGGCCGTGTGATTTGCAAGTCAAATTACAAGATCAGCGCAGACAAATGTGAGCAGGTTGGTCTGCATGTGGGGCCGTTGTTTACTCCAAGATCTAGAGAAGGGATCCAAGGTCCTGGAGTTCAAACATGTGCCTGAAACGTGAATCTGTTTTGCATCTAAACAACGCTCTAAGGACAATAGGATTTTCACCTGTTGTCCTGGCCATCAATCCCTCAGGTAAAATTGGTCTTTCACTACATGGCTATTTGTGGGATATTGGTGTGCACAAATTGGCTGCCGTGTTCATCTATAAATACAGTCACTACACGTAACTTTGACTCTTGTGAAGGGTTTTGAGATGTCTGCCTATTGTGAAAGACACAACATTAAATGCATTATTATTATTTTATTATTGGTGGAGGGGGGAGAAATTCCACCTGAATCTAAGATGTCCCCAGCTGTCACTCCATCTCTGTAAGATGCTTTTAATTTTAATTGCGCCTCTTTTATCCCACAAATATCCCACAAATAGCCATGTAGTGAAAGACCAATTTTACCTGAAGGATTGATGGCCAGGACAACAGGTGAAACTCCCATTGTCCTTAGAGCATTGTTTAGATGCAAAACAGATTGCTTTTAGACATTCGCACAACATGAAAGGCATTGTACATGTGCAAATCATTGTTGATGTCTCCCTGTTCTGGTGGATGTTGAGGACCTCATACACTATTTGAGAAGGAGAAGGGTTTCTTCCAGTGTCTGGCCCGACAAACTCCAGAAATAATTGGTTGTTCGCTTCATATCTATTTGTGGGACATTGCTGTGCAATTTAGCTGTCGTGTTGGCCTATAACATACACAGTCATTACAGTTGCTAAATATTGTGCTATATGAAGAGCAAGGATGATTATTATTATCGTTGTTACTGAAGACAGCTTTCTGATTTTTTTTCCCTTCAGATGAAATTGGAATAGAAACAGGAAAAAAAAAGAAATTCTATGTAAAAGGGCGACAAGGAGGAAAAGACAGGGAAGTGGGACGCAGGATGGAGAGCACTTTCAGAGAGCCAGATAGAATAAAATATAAAGCGTCTCTTTTCATGATTGTTTAAGTTACGTTAACATCAGAGTTTGTAACGCAAAATGGGCTGAATGACCTCCTTCTGCGCAGTAAGTTGCAGTGATTCTGGAAGGAGGCCATTCAGAGCCTGTTCCACATTTGATTAGATTTTGAGAAGTCTCTTCATGGCGTTTTCACCATGACTGGTGTTTCAGCCTCTTTTAAAAATGCCAGTCAATTCTGGATTCTTTGTTCACTGGTGCAGTGCATTCCACATTCTCACCATACGCTGTGAGACCAAACCCTTTCTGATCTCCGGGTGTGGTCAGTGTGTGTATCAGTTTATAGTAGTCCACATTCCCCCCAAGCCCTTGGTTGTCTCTCTGATGGTTCCTAATGGTCCGTCACTTCCTAATCGCAATTGATCAGACATTTAGGACTGATTTTCACCATGAGCGACCACGATCAAATATCACGATTAATCATAATTTAAAAGGAGCATGTCAAAATCTTTAGATAAATTCAAATAAAAAGCTTCCCAAGGTTTCAATTTTTAACCAGTGATTTTTAATTTTAATTGTGATTCTCTCCATGGTTGTTTAAGTAATTTTAAGCTCCTGCTCAGCCTTGGTAAAGCACTTTGGGATATTCTCCTAATGCGAAAGGCACTATACAAGTATGAATTGTTGTTGTTGATTTTAGCTATTTGATGTGAAACACTTTTTTTGTTGAGAATCACATTTTCTCTCTCTACCTCCCTCTGTATCCCTTTCTCTTTCTCTCTCTCTCTTTCTCCCTTTCTTTGTCCTTCCCTTTCCATCCGTTCGTCCTCCTCCATCCCTCCCTCTTCCCCCTCTTTTCCTCCCTCCCTCTATCTGTCATTCTCCCTCTCCTTCTGACCCTCTCTCCATTCATCCCTCTCTTTCTCCATTCTCTCTTCTCCCTCTCCCTCTCTCCCCCATTCGTTCTCCCACTCTCTTACTTTGTCCTCCCTCTCGGTCTCTCTTGCTCCTCGTTTTTCCTTCCCTTCTCCCTCTTTTCCTTCCTCCCCATCTCTCTCTCTTTCTCTCATGCCTCCCTCCCTCTGTCCCTCTTCTGTTTGACCTCAGGCACTCTACACAGCAAGAGACCAATAAAACAATCAGCTCCTCCACAAAGTACATCAAACAGCTCTTGGAAATCGTACGTGGTTCGTCCAGGGTAAGTGCAGCCACAGGTTTAACGGCCGCTTTGAATGTCATGCAAATGAGCCCTGAACCAAAGCGTAATTTCTAGAAAATTAAAAACGGCAAGATTTGCATATAAAATATAATTACTTCTCAGCCTGGCTGCTATCCAGTCTAACTAATAGTTCCGTGCTACTTTCCCTGCGCCTTGAATTATTAAGCGGTTCTAATCCTTTTTTTTATTATTAATTTATTAATATTGAAACCTCTGTTTAATATGCAAATTCCCCCCTTCCCCCTGGTGTCCATAGCTAAACTGACATTTCCACAGTTGTAACATAGTTTATTATTTTTAAATCAAGCTCCCGACTGCCTGTTCAGATGGACGTTAAAGATCCCATGGCACGATTTGAAAAGAAAAGGGAGTTTCTCCTGGTGTCCTGGCCAACAATCCTCCAAATCAAATTGGTCATTACATCACGGCTGTGGACAAGTTGGCTGCCAGGTTCACCCATAAAATACAGTCGCTACACTTTACCGTATATCCCGTGAAACGTTTTGAAACATTCTCCCAAAGTGAGAGGTTCCATACCAAATGTAAGGATTATTATTTCAGTAAACTTCTGAGAACTTGACTCTGGCTTCACTTGGCACTGCTGCTTAAGTCTCAATATCCCATCCACATTTATTGAAGTATTTATGTACAGATGCCTAACTTGCCGTTCTGGATAACTTGTCACTGAGCCCTTTTTCCTCAGAGAGACAAGTTATCAGGCGTTTACTGTTTCATTATTATTTCAGCCTTCAACCATGAGGTACAAATTTGCAACTCACTTTGAGCCAATGTAAATGACTTGAGCTAGTTAATCTGATAAAATGGAATAAACAATAATACACTCAAGCTATGTCCAGCGGGAAGGGGGGAGAGAGCCAGGTTTTTGAAACTCTTTCACTGGTTGTGGATTTGAGGATGAGAGAGGATGAAGGCGAGATTGTCACCGCAGGGATTGAAAGGAGAGATTGGGAAGAACGTCTTCTCTCAAGGGGTTGTCAGGAGCTGGAATGATTTGCCAGGAGTGGCTTGTTACAGCTGAGTCAATGAGGGGGCATTTTTTAAAAAATTGGATAAGCAAACCAAACTGAGAATGCATCCTACCTAAACAAGGAAATTCCTGTGTATTGGACTGGAATGCGCACTCTCTCCTGGAGGGACACATCCTTCTTAAGTTATTCCAGAGAGTATTAAGCACAGGCTGGCAACAGCTTTTTTGGGAGATTCCAGTTGTAAATTTGGCTGTCATGTTCGTCTGTACTCTAGACCACACCATGCTTTGAGACATCTCATTGTTAGAATAAAATACAAGGATTATTTTTATTGTTATTGTGTTACACTGATGGGCTGACCATTAATGATTGTTTTTGTCTCCGCAGAGAGAATGGCTACAATTAGATAGACTGAAGAACCAGCTCTCAGACTCTGTCCAACGCTATGGACAAGTGCAAAAGGTAATAATTTAATTTTTGAAGCTCTCTGAGCTGTTTTGTCTGTATTTCTCCAGATTACTGTTGGCGACGGACCAGACAGCCTGGCTCATCAGAAGCATCCAGAAAAGCCAGGTGGAGAAAGGGATTCTTCCCATTTGGCTCTTGCTAATCCTAAAGTCCCAGGGAGTACATTGGGCACAGGTTAGCAAGAAGATTGAGGGACCCCAGAGTGTATGGTTGGATGCACTGCTTGAGTTTAACTAGTTAAAACCACTCAGCATTGCAAACACAGCTTGTCACACTCTGGCTTGCAGGATTAGCAGGAGCCAAATGGGAAGAATTCCTTTTTCCTGCATCCTGGCCCCAAACACCCTTCCTGACGTCAAATAAAGCGACTGAACCTGACTGACTCTTTTTCCACCGTTCCGCTCTTAGCAGAATGAGCCCAGAGTAAAATCGATGCTTCTGTCAGGAGATAAAATGAACTTTACATTCCAGAATAATTTCATATTCCTTTATTACCTATAGTAACTAATGTGTTTTAATCAAATGCACTATACTTTCCTATAATAGGTTCACGACTATCATCTTTCATTCGCAATTAATTTGTTCCTCGACTACACCTAATGGGACAATTACTCATTCTATTGTTATTAGAACCTTTCTGGGGAGCTGGTGGGAGGTTGGTCTCTATTCCACTACTTCACCTTTTCTTTCTAAAGGCTCGGATGTGCCTCATTGTGAAGCATCTTTTCCTTTGTCAATCCATGTTCCAGTCTGTCCAAACAATGAATGATTCATAGACTTCCTCCTTCACCATCGGCGGGAGCTTTCAGCCAATAAACAATAGCAGTTATTTATTCCATGGCTGTTTGTGGGACATTGCTGTGTGCACCTTGGCTGCAAAATTTGTGCACAAAAGATACAATCACTCCACTTTGCACACTTATATAATAATATATATAATAATATATAATAATAAATAATAATCCTTGCATTTGATATAACGCTTTTCACATCTTCTAGACTTCTCAAAGCACTTCACAGAATATACTTTAAAGTGAATTGACTGTATATTTGTGGGCGATGCTGTGTATATCTGTGAAATGGTTGGGTCGTCCCCTGATAGTGTTACATCAAATATAAGGATTATTATTATGGCGCGGTTTTCTGCAACTCCATCTTGGCGTCTCCTTCATGCCACCTCCCTCCCTGCCTCCAAAACCCACCTTAAGACCCACCTTTTATGCACACAAAATATACAGTCGATTGACTTTACAGTATATTCAGTGAAGCACTTTGAGACGTCTTGAAGGCGTGTTAAGGTGTTATACTGGTTAAGACATTAACCAAGTTCCTGTCCAGGTGGACATTAAAGATCCTACGGCATTACTCATAGAGAGAAGGGAATTTCTCTCTGTTTCCTGGCCAACAATCCCTCAAATAAAATGAGTCCCTGAATCCATAGCTGTTTGTGGGACATTACTGTGCCCAACTGCCATGCTTCGCTCATATAATATACAGTCAATCCATTTTGCAGCGAATCCTGTGAATCGCTTTGAGACATCTTGATGACATGACAAGACGCTATATCAAATGCGAGAATTATTATTATCAAATGTGCTCACATATCTGATAAGCAGACTGATCTGGACTGCGGCCTGAAACTCCCTTGTTTCGGGTGACACAGTTTTCCTTATTAACAAAACCTTTCAATAATTCATATAGTAGAATTATTAGATCTTGTCCTGTCTCTTCCGGTAAGTTCTTGGAGCTATATATACCCTAACTCTTTCTGTGTCACTTTGGTGTGGGAGCCAGCAACAGCCTTCACTAACCCCTCACTAACAGTGTTATCCATTCATTCCTGTTGTTACGACTTTCATTCCTAGCCCAGTGCCACTATCTCACTTCCAACAGTGAGAACCAGCATCCCCACGCCACTACTTCCTTTGAGTCACAGCATCTGTTCACATACTATATAGGTCAGTGCGAATCATTAGGCAAGTTCCCTTATTCCACACACATACTCACACCTCTGTTCACCTAGCAGCAAGTAGGAACCCGGTTGCTGGTTGATTGGCATGGTCACCTCTGAGTCACAAGTGTGGTCTAGACTGACACACTGAGCACACTGGGGCAACACTGCATTATTGGAAATGCAGTGCTGGGGGAGAGCTATTGTTGGAGGTGCAGACCTTCGGTTGAGCTGCTGAACCAAGGTCCCATCTGCCTGGATGTTAAACAACCAAATCCCATGTTACAGATCCCATGGCACTGCTTGAAAAGGGAGTTTCTGTCAGTGTCATGGTCAACAATCCCAAAGGTTTAAAAACAAGCATTTTCTGTTCGTGGGACGTTATTGTCCACAAATTGGCTGCTACATTTACTTACAAAACATGATGTCATTACACCTTACAGTAATATCTTGCAAAACACTTTGTGGGGTCATTTCCTAATGTTTGAAAGACGCTATATCAAATGCAAGGATGATAATGATAATGATTATTAGTAGTAACCATTTGGTGAAGCAGAAATTCTCATCCCACTGCCTTCCCCTTTAACTCCAAATTGCTGCCTCCTCCCCCATTTTCAGCTGCGTCAGAACTGAATTATCACGACGAACATTTTTGTTGTCAATGCCTTGAAGATGTATTGTGTTGAGGATCAAGGCCTTGAAATGGATAGAAGCCAGTGCTTAAATTAACAAGGAAATGGATTATTTGATGGGCTGAAGATCTATGAATTATCTGAACAACTCACTAATGGACATGGCTTCTGCCATTTCTCATCTTATATCTGTACTTAAGTATGGTGACTTGTCGAGCACAAATTATAAATAAAAGTTATTATGTCCATTTGCTCAACAAAAAGATAATAATTTACCGAATAAATGAATATGCTCTCATTTTGGCATCAAAATAAAAGATACAGAACTTTATTGATTCGCTCGGAGAATAGTGCAGGTTAATAAATGTTCTACATTTTAATAATTTCTATAAATACACTTTACAGTGCCTGAGAACATAAGAACATAAGGCATTAAAAGGCCATGTGTCCCTCAGGACCGCTCATTCCGAAGACCAAGCAAAATATTACAGTTTTGCAGTGCAGGAGGGGGCTATTCGGCCCATCGTGCTTGTGCCATCTCACTGAAAGAGCTACCTGTTTAGTCCCACTGCCTTATCCCATAGCTTTTCATTGCCATGGTGGTGTCAGCCTGACTCAGTTGTTAGCGCTCTCGACTCGAAGTTGATGGCTGTGGCTTCAAGCCTCACATCATGAATTTAAGTTCTAGGCTGACACTCCAGTGCAGTGCTGAGGGACAGTTGTATTGTTGGAGAGGTGGTCCTTCGGATGAAATGCTGAACCAAAGTCCCATCTGCCTGGATGTTAAAGATCCCGTGGCACTACTGGGAAAGAGAAGGGAGTTTCTCCTACTATCCTGGCTGTTGGTGGGGTATTGCTGTGTGCAAATTAGTTGCCGCATTCACTTACAAATTAGACAGTCACTGGACTTTGCAGTAAACCCTCCCAATGTGGAAAGCGCTCTATCAAATGCAAAGTTTTTTTTTTGGCAAGCTCTGGAGCTTTAGTTGGTTAAACTCCAGCAGTACCCCAGCACACACAAGGGTTCCCTCAAGCCTTGGCTCATATCAAGGCATATCTAATCGGGATTAAGTGAGCAGTGTGCGTTCCTCCAAAGGGAAATCTCCATGCTTAGGTGGCATGCATGGAACGCTCAATCTGGTTTGGTTACTCTTAAGCCTGGTGATAGGTTTCTGTATCTGGGCTAACCCCCCCCAAAAATGTTTTTCTTATTCAAATATTTAAAAGGCACTCTCCTTTAAAAGGCTATTATGAATACTGCTTCAACCAGCCGTTTGCTCAGACAATCCACATTCTAATGAGCCTCTGCAAAAAACAATTTCTCCTTTTGTTTTTCTGAGCTTTTTTCGCTCCCTTCCTTACCTCGTTCAAGGTCTGTCTCTTCCAACCACCCTCAGCTCACCCACACTCCCCCCCCACTCGGATACTCGGATACCAAGCCAGGATTGTTAATTGCCTTGGGCCGCCTTCCCAACTTGAAAGGCACTATATAAATCTACATGTGTATCGTAATGATGTTGTAATGTTTCATCTCATCCCCAAAATTTCACCTTGTCTTAACCTGCAACGCCATTATGTCTTAAAATGTAATATCACGCAGAATTTGGGGAAATTATTTAATTATTCTTAATTTGAAAACATTTTTTTCCTTAGCTCTGGGTGGAATTTCTCCCATCGACTCTCTTTTCAGCCGCTCAGAGAGTGTTTGCTTGTCTGAAGGACTTTGTGGCTCGCATTGGCTGGAGACTGAATTATTTTCTCGTTTTTTATACAGAAAGTTGCTGAGAAGTCCAAAGCCTTCCTTCCCTCCGCACAGAAGGGCAGACAGGTGGGTGAAGAGGGGAAATTTTATTTCATGGTCAAGAAATTAAATTCATAATTCATATAGGAATTCATAATTATCCCATTTAACAAATTTGATTGTTTTTCCATTATTTTTAATAATTATTAATCATTGCTGTGGGCAAATTGGCTGCCACATTCACTCCAAATATATTGGCATTGCAATTAACACTTATTACTGTGAAGCACTTTGAGACATTTTTACATGTACCCACAACAGACTCGGAGATTTTTAATGATAATGCACAGTCACTATGCTTGATAACGCTTGATAATAATTCCCTGTAGGGTAGACTTTATATATCAAACGTAAGGATTATTCTTTATCACTATTACCATTCCCCCGTTGGCACATTGAAAAAGAATTACTTAATTTCCCAAAGGATAGCGGTAACCATTAACAGCACATTGGTACAGCCCCAAGCTCCAAATACCATCCTGGTGACGTGAGCGAGAGTGGAAGTCGATTCAGTTGATTTTGTTGAAAGACCAGCGGTAAAATCAGTAAAAGACTTTTTTCAGTCAAATTATTTGGGCTGCGTCTAGACAAGGAATCAATTAGATTGCAATGATTTTTAATTGAATGTATAACTCCCTTCATAAAAGTGACACGTGGTGAAATGCAGTGAAAAGTTGTATTGTGTGGGGATTGGCCATGAATGAGGCCCAAGCTTTCAGATGTGATGGAATGTATTTGTTGGGTGAATTTAGGAAATATCCCGGAGAAAAAATTCTACTCCTCCCTCCTTCCCTCCCTTCATTCAAAACATAGCTCTTTGATCGTACTTTTGGTCATCTGTCCCCGTCCCCACCCATCTCGTAACCCATCCCTCTGCCTCTGCATTGTCAAGTTGTTACAGAAGTGAAAGACGCATTCTAAATGTAAATTGTATTGTATCTTTCACAACGCATTTGATAAATATCAAACCTGTTTTATTATTCTTTCAGTTGGCTTGGCTCACAGAGGTAAGGCGGGATCGGGCGGGGTAGGGCTGGGCAAAGCAGTGGAGATTTTTGTGGGGAGGATCTTGAACTCGATCCTGGGGGACGGGAGCCAGTGGAGCCAAGCGAAGGTGAGGGGGTGATGGGCTCAGGGAGCTGCAGAGTTCTATCTGGTCTATAGCTTGTGTAGGGAATAAATGGAGAATCCAGCAAGCTGGGCGTTCGAGGAGTGGAGCCTGGAGATGATGAAGGAAGAAACAAATTGAATAATGTGAAGGCGTTCAAGTGAAGCACTGCCCCGAGTTGTGTCTGCGCTGCACTCTGCACCTCGGGCTGCTCCGCCACATGATATGATTATAAAGTCGCCCAAAATGGATTTCAGGTATTCGTCAAGGTTTCTTCTGACCTCAAGGCTTCACAGAATCAGTTATGCTCTGGGCAGCCGAGCGGGAAATGAATTGCAGACAGTAAATCATGCTCGCAGTTACTTAATCAGGTAAAGTGTGGTGGGGAGAGAGCAAGAGGGAGAGCAATGGTAGGGGTAGTGGTGGTAAATACTTTGGATGTGGCCTCCTTGGTTACTTCATTCGAAATCAGCTCTCCAGAATTTCAGGTTGTAGACCTGATATTCCACCTAGTCTTAGCCTGCAAAGCTACTTTGTCATAACTTTAAAATGGTCCAGAATTGTGGAAAAATCTTAAATTAATTTGGGATCCGGTTTTCCACAATTCTTAAAATGATACCGGCTTCCAACTTAACACTGGATTTAAGAATTTTCCATAATTTAAGATTTAAGGTCTTAAGGTTAGGCCTGGGTGGGATTTTGGCCTTCAGTGCGTCTTAACCCTCATTAAAAACAACATTTTTTTAAACAATAAAAACAATCCCAGTTAGGGGCAAATTGATAGCAGCAAAGAGAAGATTCACTTTCAGAAGCAAATGTATTTCCACTATCTTCAATATCTTCTTCCTCTCAAAATATGTTTCCTTGCTACTCTTTGTCAACAACAACAAATTATAATCCTTGCATTTTGATATATCGCTTTTCACGTCTTCTAGACAGAAAAGCACTTCACAGAATATACTGTAAAGTGAGTTGACTGTATATTTGTGGGTGAAACGCGGCAGCCAATTGTGCGCAGCAGTGTCCTACAAACAGTCTTTATGGAAAATTCTTAAATCCAGTGTTAAATTGGAAGCCGGTATCTTTTTAAGAATTGTGGAAAACTGAATCCCAAATTAATTTAAGATTTTTCCACAATTCTGGACCAACAAACAAAATTGAGTGACCAAATTATTATATTTTACCAATTTTTTTTGCATTTATATATAAACAGTTATATACAGTTACATTTATATAGCGCATTGGAAGTTAGTCCCAAGGTGCTGGACAGTTAAGGTTTGCACCCGAGCTGGGGTGTTAGAATCATGAGGGTTGGATTTAATGACGTTGTCGTTCCTCAGTTTAACTCACCTTTGCTCTGTGTAGATGACACTTTTTGTTTAACCTTGGAGATTTCACGGAACATTAGAGCACAAGAAGGAGGCTATTTGGCCCCTTGTATGTTGCTATCACCACTCCCACCCACCCACCCCTCCCCACCAACCCACTCCACAGGGGCTATCTACCCTAATCCCAAATCTGTTTCTTTTTCTTCCCACAAATTATACTGACAACTCACTTTACAGTATATTCGGTGAAGCATTTCAGACATCTCGAAGACGTGACGAGGCCCTACACCAAATGCAAGGATTATTATTGTTTCTATAATTCCAAACAATACCCACAAAACAACAACAAAATTACATTTGAATAGCGCCTTTCACGTTGGGAGGACGTCCCAAGTCGCTGGACAGACAGAGTTATGGACCCGAGCTGAGGGTCGGGGTCAGAGATGGTGGAGGGCAGGGGGAGAAGCAGGGAGATCGAAAGCATGGTTGAAGTGGAGGATCTTGAGGTGGGTCTTGAAGGTAGCGAGAGAGGGGGCAGACGGAGGGACTGTGGGATAGAGTTCCAGAGGGTGGGTGCAGAGGGGTGGAAGGCCCACCAGCCGATCGTGGCGAGCAAGGCGGGGGACATGAAGCAGGCAGGAGCCTGCTGAGTGGAGGGAGTAAACGGTGGTAAGGGGTTAGGAGGTCGGAGAGGTAGGAGGGAACAAGACCGTGGAGGGTTTTGAAGATGAGGACCAGGATCTTGAACTGTATCCTCTGTGTGATGAGAAGCCATTAGAGTTGGGCGAGGATGGTGATGATAGGATCGTGGAGCTTAGTGCAGGAGAGGACATGGGCTGCAGAGTTCTGGATGATCTGCAGTTTGTGAAGGGAGGAGTTGGGGAGGCCGACAAGCAGTGAGTTTGCATAGTCGAGCCTCGATTTAATGAAGACGTGTATGAGGGTTTCGGCGAATTGCGGTGTGAGACTAAAGACTTCAATTGCCTTATATGTATGTCATCTACACATGGAATTCTTCCTGTAATGAAATGCTTACTCCCCAGAAGAACACAACTTGTTATAAAAGAGCCTGAATAATCTAGGACTGTCCACGTGGTTGCTTTGCCACTGCTAGAGTTAGCTAACTTCAAACTAACTCATGGATAACAGCAACAGCTTGATTTTATGTAGCGTCCTTCACCTAGGATAATGTCTCAGGAGTGCTTCACTGTGGAAGGATTGGATACCGAGCAAGGCAGAAGGTGAAAGGGGAGGTGCCCATAGATGTGGTTGAACAGGTAGGGTGAGGCGGAGGGATTGAGTCAGGGAGTTCCAGAGATTAGGGGCATAGTGGCTGAAGGCATGGTCACTGATGGTGATGTGGAGAGGTTGGCGGACACACAGTGTGTCAGAGAGGTAGGGAGGTACTAGGATGCAAAGGAATTTGTACGCGAGTGATTATTTTGAAATCAATCAACAAGAATAAGGTAGAGAGGCAGCGTTGCTTTGCCCTCAGCTTATGTTATGGCTGATAGCAACTCACAATAGATCTGTAAGGGTTTAGCATTTCTGTCTGTGATAAGAGCAATGTGCGCCAATATGGTGCACTGAATGGAGTCCTGCAGCTTAGTGGTTAGAGCACTCGCCTTGCAAGCAAAAGGATTTGGGTTAGATTCCCGGCAGGGCGAAACCTTGGGCAAGTTTCCTTTCTCCACACGCCTCTGTTTACCTAGTAGTATGTAGGAACCCGGTTGTTAGTTGATTGGTGGATGGCTTTTCTGGGGATAGTAATCACTTAAAAAAATGTTTAATGAATAATAATGATAATTCAGTACTCAATCCACGAGTGTTGGGACACTTCTGTGCGCAATTGGCTGCCGCATTTTGCCCACAAAATATATGTAGTCATTTTAATTTATAGTATATTCTGTGAAGCGCTTTGAGACGTTTCGAAGATGTGATAAGGCGCTATATCAAATGCAAGGATTATTATTATTATTATTGTGTGTCAGATACTCCGGGCGCTGAAAGTGCTGCAGATTTCCCCGGGGTTGTAAGTGCCAGGTGTTTGAGTTGGGAAGGTGGTTGGTCAGATCACTCGGCCCTTGGACGGACTTTGTGAACTGCACTTCCATTCACTTTATAGAATCACAGAAGGTAGCCATTCGAATATTGTAACTGTGCTGGTGCCAGCTCCCTCAACAACAACAACAACTTGGATTTATATAGCGCCCTCCATACCGGACGGCGTCTCAGAGCGCTTCACAGTAACGGATCCCGGGGCCGAGCCAGGGGGAGGGGGAGGAAGGTGACCAAAGGTGCGGTCGAAAAGAAAGGTCTTCAGCCGAGACCTGAAAATAGGAAGAGAGGGGGCGAGGCGAAGGGAGTGAGGAAGGGAGTTCCAGAGCCTCGGGGCATAGTGGCTGAAGGCATGGCCGCCGAGGGTGGAACGGAGGACTCGGGGGACAAGGAGGAGGCCAGACTCGGTGGAACGAAGGCAACGGGCACTGTTTTGAGAAGAGAGGAGGTTAGAGAGGTAGGGGGGTGCAGAGGAGTGGAGGGATTTGAAGACAAGGATGAGGATCTTGAAGTCGATCCTCTCTGGGACAGGG